AACGATGCTGTGCTTAGCAGTCCAGGGCTTACCCCCAGGGCCACCTGGGCTCCTCAGTAGAGCAGCTAAGCAAACTCGCTGACATGGAGCTGATGCTGACTCAGAGTGATCCTGCAGGGCAGGGCGAAACTGTCCCTGTGGGTTCCCCACCCGTCGACTCTTCACAGGAGTACGCGGCCTCCTCTTTCTTCAGCAGTGTACACAACCCAGCTCCTTATTCGTGGACCACATCAGATACATGTTGAACCAAGCACACTGTTCTTTGAAGACAAATTGAGACGCTTTCTAACTCATTCCCAATTCTTCCTCCTTTGAAAAACAGAGACGTGCCCCACTGCCATGACACGGGAGCCGGGACCCGGGAGCCAACAGAAGCAAGTGCGAGCAGGTGCGTGCTTCGGACATCCAGCACTTCCACCCAGGCGCTGCCACCGCTCCGGAGCACGCGGGTCCCAGAGACGGAAACTCTCCGTGGGAGCAGAAGCCTCAGCTTGTCCCCGTGAAGCTGTTGGTTTAGAATGGCTGTCCCTGAGGATAGCAGCCCCGTGTGCCACCCGGGGCCATGCACTTAGACCTGGCAATTTCAGAGACTTTGAGAGATCGCTTTGCCGCCACTGGAGGGAGTGTCTTATACGCAGTGACTCTGAGTCGTAGGTAGAACTGGGATCATGATAGGAGGGAGGGGGGAGGAAGCATTTAGGAACTAGAGGAAAGTTGTGTTTCATCGTTGCTACACTGCACCCTGAGAAGACCACTTTTCCCCTTGTGATAGTGGTGTTATTAAGTTCTTATCTTTACAAGACTGACTCACTTTGCTGAGCACCGTGTTCTGCCTTCCTGTCTGCGCTTGTGGTGTCTACAGGATGCATAGTACTCCCTACCGGTCCTGCTGCTTTAGCAAGTTTGCCCTTCCTCTGATCTCGTCCAGTCCTGCGGACACTGCCAGTTGTGTCCCCAAGAAGGTCGCCCCCTCCCGAACCAAGCCTCTGTGATCCCATTGCGCACACAGTGGGTCCAGATACCAAACTCACTGCCATCAAGCTGGTTCCGGCCCATAGCAACTCATTTGCATGTCCCAGGTGGTAACTCTTGACAGGAGTAGAAAAACCTCATCTTCTCCGCATGGAGCGGCTCGAGGTTTTGAACTGCTGACCTTACGGTTAGCCACCCAATATGTAACCTCTATACCATATTCCATAAAAATTGTTCTAGAGTCAAAAGCAACAACAACATGGCTTGGCCACTGAGGAGCTCACAGCAGGTGGGAGGTTCAGACACTGCAGGGGGGTTGATGTCATGTGATACCTCATATGCTCAGAGTGCCATAGACACACAGAGAAGGGGGCTGTTTCTCTCGGGGGGGTGGGGTGTCGGGGGAGATCACAGAGAAGAAGGTTTCCTGAAGGAGGTGGTGGGCGCCCTGAGTTCCAAAGAGTCGTGGTGGAGATGGGGAGGCTCCAGGTCAGAGATCGTGAAAGCAGAGGGGACTGGGGCGTCACTGAGTCTTTCAGCAGACTCCCTGAGCACCCTGTCGGTGCCAGGCCCGGAACCCCCCACTCCTGGCTCCAAGAGACATGCTGCTGACGGTTAACCACAACGGCTGGTGGGAGGGGCTGCTACACCTTGAGTTGTCTAAACCCCGGGTCCCAAGCAAGGCAGCCACACCTAAGAGAAGAGCAGTGGGCACTGGCTCTTTCCAGGGCTCAGCGATCAATCACGCTGTCACCCCTATGGGCTTTGGGGAAGGTGGTGGGAGTTAGGCAGCTAACACGAGGAGGAACTCAGACCTACTCGGGCTCTTCAGCAGGCCGATTCTCTGACCCGCTCAGCCCGTGAATCAGGGGGTTTCACCCAGGCACTCAGGGGCCTCTGCCAGGATGATCTGCCACACTTGCTAGAGGGTCTCCAAGAAGCCAGCCTCCTCATGCCTCTATCCCTTGTCACGATGGGAAAGGGGATGCTCTGACCTGTCTGTCCTCTCCTAGATTCCCCCAGGGCTCACAACTCAACTATGGCCAGTAGGTGGCGCCAAGGTCTTGAGCGAAGACTGCTTTAGCGTTACCCCCAACGCCACACCCTCCTTCCCTGGCTCAGACATACCAAGTGCATCCCACTTGGACCTGGCCTCCAGGGTCCACCAAAACTTGATGATGTCAGGGAAGAAGGCTGAACAGAGTGCTTTCGTCCATCGATGCCCAAACCATTTGTGTCTACTGGCCCCTTTGGAGAAGAAATTAGTCCCCCCACGCTCCCACGAACAATAAAGTAAAATAAAGGGTTTGTACTATAACCCGGGATAAAGTGTAAGTATTTGCTTTTGTAGCCCTCCCTGGACCATTCTAGCACCCTTTGGGAAACATTGCTCTCAGAGCTGGACTGGCCAGAGTGGCCTGGAACATGGAGTTGGTCCCAAATCCTGGACTCCATGAAATGGACCTCTTGGTCCTCCCAAAGCCACAGGTTGAACTCATCAACTGACCCAACTTCTGATGGCCCGTTGAACTGTGGGTCGATGTGGGCATTTGCTTAGGCAGCGGGTTCTAATTTGACCAGCTGCAGCCACTGACAACAAAGAAATCATCTGAGAAAATGCTCACTCACACCACCTGTTACCAACAGTGCCTTCACCTCCCCTGGGAGGACCCGAGCAACCACCCGTGGCAATTAGGGGCTAGTTCAGTCCTATGGGCGCATGACCAGGGTCTTCTCTCTGTGCCCTGGGTTTTCTACCGCCATCTGTGGTACATGGTGGCTGTTGGGAGAAACTGCTCTAGCTAGGTTTGTGGCATGTCCTCCTCCAGGTTCCTAGAAATCCCAGGGCAGGATC